TGTTCGAGCGTAGATCGTGGTTTCTGAGACACGAACAGCCTGAACAGAGTCATAAATGACCAAATACTAGAAATTTAGATGGGTTACTGGCTTCGGAACAAGTACAGAGTTTTCATCAGCGTTTGTCACATCGCTATTTGGTTCTAAAGGACAAGTCTGTGAATGGCCGTGCAACAAACACTAGACTACAGTATTCCTTGAATGACACGAGAGTCTCCAGTTTGAGATAATCATAAGAAAGATAACGATGCTCCAAACGTATCTCTATAGACACTTACAATATAGACATAGACATGAACCCTTTCTTGAATGTTCTATAGATACCATTTTAGTATGCATTGGTGTTGTACGGCAAACCATTGCATGCCTTGCGCACCAAAATCTAGTTCTGGGGTTTAATCCTCCGCAAACCACGGATCACATAGAATATCCTCGATCATGGGTCTTTTGGAAGGATCATACTGAAGAATTCGACGAATAAGTCTCTTGACCTTCTCTGCCTCCTCATCAGTCAAGTCCGGGGCTGTCAAGTCGAAGGCCTCCTCCATAGAAGTCTGTTCTAGCATAAGCGGCTCTTCACCTTCGCCAATGCCACCAAGTTGGCAATTATAAAGCTTTCTGTCCTTTGTGTAGTACCGTGAAGAGGTTTCCCAGCGGCTGTAAAGCTCATCAGGAAGCGGGCCAAGCTTCGCCTGGAGCTCAAGAATATGGTTATCATCTTCTTCGGTCCTGTCGCCGTATGCAGGAACACAGAAGAGAGGTTGTCCGGTGACGAGTTCAAAAACAAGACAACCAAAACTCCATATGTCGAGAGACTTGTCCACCTCTCCCATGAGAACAAGCTCCGGCGTTCGTAGGCCAAGCGGCGTGATGGGCTTCTCGGGAAGATCGTTCAGAAAGTAGGCTACTCGTTATAAGTCACATCTCGATCAGAAAGAGACATGAAGGGGGGGAGAAGGGACTTACCACCACCCATATCAGATAGCTTGACCCGAAAGTTCTCAGAAACGCTCGCGTAGGGTGCTAATGGTTGAGCAAGGCAGAGATATCGCGGCGCCCATTTGTCTTGCTTGCCATCAAGTCTCTCTACAGGAGGCGAGATTGACTTTGCCTGGACGTTTTCTTCCTGGTGGAGGGACGTCTCATCAAGGGAATCGATAGACTGGACTGAGAATAAAATATTGTCGGGCTGGAAATCTCCATGCGCAACACCATTTTTATGAAGGAATTCCAACCCCTGCAAGGATTGCAGGAGGATGCGTTTCGCCATCTGGGGGGGATAGCGAATCTTCATTCCATACTTGCGTGGTTTGAACTGGGGCAATTCGAATACCATAGAGTTGACAGATGGGCCCATGGGTTCAAAGACAAGGCACTTATGGATACCATTGGGGCCTTTGTGTTCAAAGTCTGTAAGAAGTTGAGTAACATGCCTCATCCCATCTTGGGGGGCAACCTTGGCAAGATGGTACAAGACATGCAACTCGTGGCTAGTCTCTTCTGTATTCTTTGAGATAAGAATCTTGAGGGCAACATAGCGAGAGTTTCTAGGGATATTATAAGCCATTGACGAAAATGCAGGTAAGTCTTATTTAGCCAACCTCAGGTCATGTGCAAGCCAAACAGTTGAATAAGCACCCTCTCCAAGCTTCCGGATCACCTTGAACTGGCCATCATTGAATAAATCACCGAGGTGTACGGGGTGGAAGCCGCCTGGGCGGTAGTCCTCTATCCATTCGCAAGGCGACCTAATATCCTTAAATCGCCGCCCTTGGTCACCTGGTGCCCTTGAAGGCGGGGTTGGTGGAGGTGAAGTGCTCATTGCTGCGATCAAGATGTGTTGTTTATAGCGGTTAGGTTTCTGCGCAAGAACAATAGAGAGTTCTGTAGAAAAGCAAAAAGAGCTTGGGGGGTGTTTAAGTGATTTTCTAAGGATTATTAAAAGTTAGAAATTCTAGCACTAAGACCCTACCTGCACTGAAAGCCAGTAAAGATGCTGCTGCCTGAGGCCGCTGCCTAAATAACCAGCCTCAGTAGGTTGCTTCACTAGGTACTAACACTGGCCGACGGTGTCGAAGCTGGTATCTGAGCGAGCTTCCTATTAACAACCCAGCCGACGCCGATGCGAGGGACGTAAGAACTACGCAGCTCCATTTACGGACACGCAAGTCAACCAACTCAGTAACGATTCTTTCTTTCTTCAAGACTATTGCCGTCATTTTCACGCTCAGTACTCTAGTCTCCAGTGCAGACCCATTAGGGACTGGCTGTGCGACATGCCGACTGCGATCTCAAAGCCAGTGATGGCTTCGCATGACCCGGTGCCCTTTATCATTCCACAAGAGGTAAACACACGCTTCCCATCCTCAGATCGATTCATCTAACGAGTCCATGATCAGCTTTTAAGCGCAGTGCCCACGGTATCTTCGACTCTCGTTCGTCTTCCAACCGAGTTGCTCCTCATCATCTTCTCCCACGTCACCGACCCCATAGAGCAACTCTGCTTAGCACTCACCTGCAGACGTCTACTCCAGATTTCCTCATTCCGCGTCGTGAAGATCCCCTCTATTTCGAAGCACAGATATCTCCCTCCGCCGTTCTGCTATAGAATGTTCTCGTTGCTGAGAAGACTGGCCCCTTTGGATGCGCGCGGGCGGCCGAAGTGAACATTAGCGCTCTGCTGCGATTGTTTATGGTACCGGCCTACCAGGAAGAGTTACTGGAAGAAAGATGGCGAGAGATATACCACCGCGAAGCCGGGAATAGGCGCGTGGGGGATTTGGGATAGCAGAGTATCGGCGTGGACATCCTCTTATTCGTTTCAATGTCCAGCCTGCTGGCTTAGAGAGAGAATGATGACACGAGAGCAGGCTGGCAAATCTTAGCAGCCTCTATTATGAACTATTTCGTTTTTAATCACCAACTACTGGCATCTGCGCGCCCACAAAAGCGATCTACTTCTGCCCAGCGACAGAAGCATCCATGGTTATTCAGCATCAAGATTGCGGCTCTCGACACAGATGCATCTAGGGTTACTGACAAGGAGCTCCTGCAGCACCCACTCTTCGATCCCGTATACAAAGACCGCGCAGGCTCCGAATAGATTGATCGGCAATTTTTACAAGGAACAGTCCTTACTTGTGGTGGAGAGCTTACCGAAATGGAGTTGGGGTGCATAGACTCGTCTTGCAGGGTCAGATTAGCAGCATTTGGGTCCAAGAGCACGTACAGATGATACAACCGCCAAAACGGACCAATAGTGCAAGAACACATACTATAATTGGTCTGTCATTCAAATACATTTAGGCTTGTCTAACAGGCTTTCCCTCTATGTTTGTTGTGTTTCTTGAGTTTCGTGGAATATTGCACCTGAAGTAACCCTTGCGAACATTCCCGCTCAGGGAATTGTTGGTTAAACTCCGCAGTTTCTGACCACTAAAGGCTTTAGTCTTTTACCTTAAGAAGGAAATGGTTTTCCTTAGTAGTAAAGCCTCTAGAATGCATGACCTTGTTGCTTTGAACGCTGTCATCTATGACTGGTGCGTGAGAACTGTTGCCCCTGGGAGTAATAGTGGTGCTGCTTGATGCCTCCTATGTCGGCTTGCCACTTACTGTTGATGTAATGGGTGGTCTCAAAGTCAAGTGGCTCTATTTATCTGTTTGGAAGTTGCCAGCACATGGATCTGGTTTAAGGTCGTGACAATTCACAAGGCTACTGATGTATAGATGAAGTCCTTTCATCAAACGGCGCAGGGGCTTCAGTTGATGGCAGCAGCTTAGGTAGTGGCAGTAGGCGGCATCCTTATAACCCATCATACTCTATGTCACTCGCTCCTTTCTATTATACTGCCTCGTATTTCGGAAGTGATTTTGTAATGGTTGCGACGCTTCGAGGTCGTACCTATAGATTAGATCACTCAGACCTGGTATAGGTTATTAAGCCTCCACTTGTTGTCCAGGTTAGGCCACTTACACAGTCTTCGCTTCAGGCAATCGACACAAAATTAACCTCAATACGACTTTGAATGCTGTACAGGCAGTTCAATTTACATAGGTAATTCAGTATCAAAGGCCCAGCGCTAAGGCATATTCGTTCTATACTAGCCTGACTCTTGTAGCAACGCTCAACTCTCAACTCTCACCTCCTGGCTCCTTCATCATGGCAACTCTTAACTCAGTCAACTTGAGCTTAGCAGACAGTTACCCTTATGACTGAGCCACTCTAGTAGAACAGACTCACTAGTTGCAATGCTACAGCTAGCTTCTTCCTCTCTCTTCCTTGACCCCATCATAACTTCACCCAATCCTCGTCATGACAACTCCCAACTCCCTCAACCCCCAACCCAACCACGATTGTTCACCATCCATAACATACCACTTCACTCTATATCATCCTTTCAACAATAACCCACCGCTACTCTTCTCACCATCATCACCCGTTTCTATTCCTCATCAGCCACCAAAGCGTCTGAGCCACCGACCCATAGTGGCCTGATGCACATCACGCCACGTCAGTTTCTCGTTCTCCATCTACCGATGTCACGCCTGATATGCACGTGTTCATCTCACATACACCCTGTCCCTCGTTAAAGTCCCTGCATGGACGGACCCACGAGGCCAGCAAGCCAAGGTGAGGCTCAAACACATGTGAAGTGTTGACCAACTTGCACCATCGTGAGTCGAAGTCAATCAGAGGCGGCAAAGTGTCACTGAGAGAGAACAAGATTGAAGAGGACATTAGATATATTGGAGATTGTTTATACTATTCAGGAACCATTCCTGCGTTTTATGTAGAAGCCCATATGATGGCAGAATGTCCGCTCAATGCGCCGAAATAACACAATTGCCTTTCCCAATCCATGTCTTGAACGCCAGAAGTAAACGCCTGATATCATGATTCATCACACAAGCTCGAAGCATTGCGTTTCCAGTTGTGCCGATCCAAACAATAATATCGCAACAAAGCAAAAGTAAAGCACACAATTCTATGCCTTCGCTTTCTATGCCCAGACTCCTGCTGGGGGTCCCTGATCTCGCGACATGACCATCATCTCGAAGCCCTCAACACGATTCCGTAGCTGGCTGTTCTCCCGGGCGAGGCTCTTATTCTTCTTCTCGAGGTGCGCAATGTACTCGGTCGCTTTGCTGAGGATGGTGGCCTTGTTGAGCTTGTGCGCTGGTGCAAGACCGCCGAGATCCTCGTCGGCGTCCTCTTCCATGGTCTCAGCGCAGGGCTGCTCGAGACGGTGGACCATGACGCGTAGAGCGGGGACGGAGTCGCGAAGGGCGGCGATCTTGTCGTTCAGGTTGGTGCGGTATCGCTTCTCGATCATGTTGTGGGCTGTCTTCTTGGGAGGAGAGCAGTGGCGACGCGTCGCGGGAGGAGGAGAGGTAGAAGAGCGGGAGGAAGAGCTTCCGGAACCGGAGGACTTGCGCTTGCGGGAGGGATATCGACCGTTGGCATCCTTGGAGCTGATGCTGTCGAGGGAGGAAGACATCTGAGATGGGTTGGAGGTAGAGTGCATCATGTTGGACTGAAGATGAGGAGGTTGAGAAGAGATGGAAGGGATGGGAGTCTGGAAGAGAGGCTGAGTGTCGATGTCATTCAGGCCTACTCTACCGAAGGGGACAGCATCGGAGATGGTGCCGGAGAGGTCGTGTGGGTTGATGGCGGGGCTGAGCTCCATGCTGTTCCGTGATGGGATGGTGGAGAGGTTGATGCCTTCAAAGGGCTCTTGCTTGGGGAGGGCGTCGAGGTCAGGTGATAGCGTAGCCTTGTCGTCCCAGTTGACCCAGTCGTTGGAGACGGGGAGCTGATAAGGGTTGTTGAAGACGGGCGAGAGTGGTGAGTCGGGAGAATGGGCCGAGTCACCACTGAAGTCTGCAGGGTCGTAGAAGGATGTAGGAACAAGATGCTGAGGTGAATGTTAGAGTGATCAAGACGATGAACAATGAGATGAGCCTGTATGAGATGGTAGAGTAAGAGAGCAAATGGGGTGAGTTGTGGTGAGAGAGTCTTGATATAAAGATGAGATTGATTGATAGATTGCAGATGTTGTTGAGTTGAGTAACTCGAATTGGGCAGAGTGGGCTGAGATGAGGTGAGGTGAGGTGAGGGGGCAGACGAAGGAGGGGAAACATGTGCCATATAAACGAAGCAAAATGCCCCAGACAAGGGTTCTTTTGGGGCCAGGGTCCAATGGGAGGTAAGGTTCGTTGTGCTGTAGGGTAAAAAGGACCGACAAAACATACCTGTTTGTTCTGGGGATGGTCAAAGTAGTCGAATGATATGTCGGCCATTGTGAGGTTTTGCAGAGTCGATGGTTGACTGATGGTGGTGCTTGAAGGGCTGAGGTGGTGATATTGTATGGTATTGAATCTTTGCTGCTCGGGGCGTGTGGATATGTCTATTACTCGCCAAGGGTGTGCGTGTGTGAGTGAGACGAGATGCTGCTGGAGATGAGATGGAGAGAGAGAGTCGTGCGTGGTGTGAGAGGACTGTGATGTTATGTTATTCAGATATCGATGGCTATGCTTCCAGAAACAGAGAATGGTCAGACGGGGCAAGCGATATATAGACCATGGAAACAAAAACAAATGAAAAATAAAAAAGAACCCTACGCTGCTCAATTGCTGCTAACCTAGCACAGAGCGACAGCGCCCGACGAGTCTGTTCCGCGTCATACGACCCGTTGGTCGAGCGGCGGGGGCTGCCGAGCTTGGCGGGGGTGTAGCACTAAGGGCCCCGTCCAGGGGGTAGACACTAACTATCCATACCTAAGCTAAGCTAAGCTAAGGATAACTGAGCCGGGAAGAGACAGACACAAACAGGACACGGAAGACAGCTAGCACATGGGCCATGGGATGGGATTCAGAAGATGGGCAACTTAATTGACCACTTTTGATCCCATCATGGGTCGTTTTCTCGCTCGTTTCTCGGGGGCCCTCGCACTCCGTCTTCCGTCTCTCCCTCGGTCACTGAAGCCTCCTCACCTCGGTGACCCCCTGTAAATTCAGGGAATGCGATTTTCACAACGTTTGCCATAACAAGTATCTACCTACTGTACATCGAGATCTCAAGTAACCAACCCTGTTTTTATTTTATTTTAATTCTGAGACAAGCCAAACACTCAAGTGAGCGGCTACGCACATGCGCATGCAAACGAACTTCGTTTATTCCCAGCGGCTGAAATGCTCCCCCCCGTCCGTCCGTTTTTGATCGCCGCGCTCTAGACTTGAATGGCTGTCTACCAGAGCCAACGAGTGCCCTGTGCGTGAGGATGCAAGCAAGGCTGTAGAAGGGTTTCGCTGTGCCAGTTACATGCGTTTTTCTCTACCAACACCTAGTGTAATGGCTGTTGACAGCTAGGTTATGTTGACACGTCGTGGTATAGCATCTGCCGAATTTAAAATAAAAAAAAATGCTTCCGGGTTTAATGCAATTGAGTGAAGAAGCTGTCAGAATTCCTTACCCGATGCACCTCGGAATTTCCAGAAGGTCCAGAACAGCACTGATCCCTGTCCCACAAGCTGTCAGACTCGTCTGTGCCGCCCAATCATGACTCGCGAGTCAATCATTTCTGGCTCGCCGTTTGTCAAACGAAGACTGTCCCGTGGCGGGATATCAAGCTGTAGGCGACGTTGTTATCATTCAAGACATTGTAATTTGAGGCGTTGGGTTTGTGCCGAGACACCCTTTTTTTTTTATTACCTTCCAACGGTGAATGTAACACAACACATCGAGTGCATGCGTGCTCAGACACTGCGCTACGCGGCCATTTCTTAAGCATATCCATCAAAAGGATTCAATAATTCGTGAGACAGTATCCACCATCAGCCTCAGCCCAGTCAAGCCAGAGCTAGAAGGTAAAAATAAAACAGCACTAACTAAACACTTCCCGTCTCTTTCATTCATTCATTCACAAGTTAATCCGCATTCACCGAAGCGAAACAGAAACTCGCTCCTCGCCTATCGCCCCCCACCCCAAATACGTACAGTCTGGCCCCGGCACTGTTCCGCGCAGCGCAGCGTGTCAATCGCCGTTGGACATTTCGTGGGCTCGAAAAACATCCCGAGGCCTAGAAGCTCAAACACAACGTTCTATGTTTTGGCGAACACCGAAGATGGAGTCGCAGTGAGACAATTGTCGGGAAATAATCGTAAACGTGCAGATTTACATGCTGATATGATCAAATCGCATGGTCGAGACCGGTCCGGGGGTCAGGGATTGTGTTATCGTCGTGTAGCATGAAGCGGATACATTTAAAAGGGAAATGCAATCCAGGAACGAGAATTGTGATGCAAGATGTGAGGGTATCCAGACAGACAGATACTGTATACACATGTTTTCGTGTTTCCACTTGTCTGAATGCCGTGCATGCAGCCCATGTCGACGTCTGTTCTCAATCAAACCTCCATCTCCAATGCATCGCTTCTGCCTCAACCCGTGATGCTCAATTCATCCACCAAACAATGTCACTTCTTTCCCGAGACATGTCCGTATAATTACCTCAATGAATTTAATCATCTCTGAATATACATCAAAATCGTCACAGCTCATCGGGTCAATTACGTCGCAATGGGTCGATGATTCACCACTAAAGCATCCTCCCGTCCGCTGTCCCGGAAAAAAAAAACAAAGCAAAGAGCTGCACATCATTGAAACTGACCCCCATTGTATCGTCGATATCTCACCCGTGGTGGTGAAAATAACCGGGGTCCAACTCCAAAAAGTGGCCTGATCTTGCCAACAGCCCATTTTGGACTTGACCTGCCCATGCCCGCGTGAGCGGAGGGGGCCGGAACGGAGGGCACGTGTTAGACTAGATGTACTTCCCCACCAATCCCGAAGAGAAAAGGGACCTGGGCTGCATCGCGGGAAATAATCGTCGAAACGTGCCTGTCGTCGTCCGTTTGATGGTGTGTTTTACGGTATCACGAGAACGGTGTTTCGGGAATCGCCATTTAAGCGCGGGGCCTGTCTACAGTATCGGCGCGTTTTAATTAATGAGGTCTCAAGATTCACCGGGTCTTCACTGTAGCAGGCGGGAGAGCAACACCGAGAAGGGGTGACAGCTTGCGGCGTGTTTTTGCGGCATCTTGCGGCGTGGCTAGTGGCATCTAATTTTCTAGAGAGGGAGGGCTGAGACACGGACGGTGACGTCGAAGGGGTTTGGAGCAGCAGGGGACTTGTTCATCGCGATGGGCAAGTGATGGGCAATTGCAGATGTTTAATCTGATATGATCCTCTTCACCATCGTATTTCTTCCTCGGTTTCTTGTTTTTTTGAATCTTGTGAAGGATCGATATGACGTTGAAGTGTCTGTTGATCATCCCCACAGAAATTGGCATGTCAATCAGCCCTGTCCTAGCGTGTCAAGCTAATCATCAAGGCTTCGGATCCGCACTTTTTTTTCTTCTTCATGAGGCAGAGCATCTTGACTCAATGTCATTCCTTTGCCCGTGCTTTTATCTAAATCAGCCACAAATTTTGATTCACGGGATTGTGCAGCTGAATCAGTCACAATTACATCGAGTTTAGGGGGAGGAATTGAATTTCTGTCGTTAGTGTCTTTTTTTTGTTTTTGTTTTTTTATGACATGGCCCGGCGTCAAACGTCCCTGCAGCGGGCCGCGTCGGCTAACCATTTCCATAAAACAGTGTGTGTCGATGGAATGCTGCTTGTCTCTGTCTCTCCGCAAATTGAATTGACTCTCCCTGCAAAATACATGATGTACCCAAGAAAGGCTCTCTTTTCTTTTCTTTTTACGGCAATTACTTCACAAACGCTGACATTTCATCTCAACCCGTCCCTCTCGTCTACGTAGTATCTGAGTTAACCTCGTCTATCACATTTCTTAGTTCGATTGCGGCAGCGTCCGGTGTCCGTGCTTGTACATCGCAGCACGATCATCTCGACTCTTTCCATTTCCTCATCTACTCCTTGTCATTTCCCCTCAATCGTTCGAGGGGGGGAGAAGTGATGTCACCCAAGCTTTTTTTTCTTCTTCCTTGTACAACCTGAAGCTATTTCCTCTCTTCTCAATTGAAGCTGTGTATGCGTACACACAGTGAATGGACCCCTGCATAAACTCATGCTTCAGTTGGTGCTCGCTCGGGCGGGCGGGGGGAGAAGCTCTGTCCTCTTCTCTCTCGTCTCGTCTTGTCTCGTCTCCACATGAGCTACCCAAGCTTTGATCCCCAAATTCGAGGGCGTTGTTTTCGTCCTTTGTCAAACGTTGTTTCCGCTGTGGCGTTCATGTGCTGTAACTCGAGACATTCCTTTCTCTTTTGTCTCTAATTGATTGAATGCTACGCTGAGACAAAAACGCTGGCGTTGGTGTTGGCGTTGGCCGCCGTTTGTCTTGAGGCCTCTGCCTCTTTTAGCTTTCCCCTCAATTCGTGTTCGACCCCGGATGGTTCAGATGTTACACCAACAGCGAGAAAACATGATGTCTCATAAAACTCGTGCCCGAACAAACAAAGACTTGCCCATGCAATTTAATCGGCCACCCTATTCCTTCTTGCATTTTCGTTTGCGACAAAAGGTCTTTTCTCATCACATGCTTTTTCGTTGCCATCTTTCTTTTCCCTGCTCTACGTGCATCGACATCATTGCCCAGTGCATCCTTCACTGCATAACGCAGTCTAGTTGGCCCCCCCTCTTCATCTTAGCCAAGCCATCGCTGCAGGATCTCCCTCTTCTCTTCTTTGTTTGCCGAATCTCACTCAACTCGTCTGCAGCACTGTAACATCCCGCACCGCCCACTGATCGACACTCTTCCTTTCTTCTTTGGGCTATACGCTGCCTTCAGCTCGCCAATCTAGCAATGAGTTGAGATCCACTTGATTCGTAGCCAAGATTCAAGGATGAGACCTTCCAACTTATCCCGGTCGTAGCCCGTTCCAGACGCAAACGTCAAAAGATGCCTAAGCCATGTGTAAGAATTTTCTACTGTTTGGTCTTGACACCGTGGACCGGACAGCTCGGAGCCGCGATTTTAATCTTTGGGATCTGGGATCTGGGACCCTCCAGTGAAGTTAATTGGCACGAGGCACGACCTCATTGATTGATTGTGCGCGATTGATATGAGACTGATCCACTGTCAACGGATCCGGTGATGTTAAAGGTCGAGTTGAAGATCTTGGCGCTTTTTCCACATGGCATTGTGCGCTAAGTCTTTTGACAGAGTGGAGGTGGCTGGCTATTCTTATCTCTTTTGGCTGCGTGCATGCGCGAAACTCGTGGTCTTGCTGGTTGAGTACTGCGATGCCGGAAGAGGCGGGGGGTTTTAGATGCGGCGGTTCTTTCTTAGCGGTCTCAGGTCGAAGGAATTGAGTTCTACTATGTGAGCGGAAGTGTTGCCGTGCTTCGTGTTGAAGTCCGGCTCCTTGTCGGCCGACACGGGAGCCGAGACGTCGTGATGTCAGATTGTGAGTCGGTAAGTGAGATTTGATGAGAGGTAATTAAGTAGAAACTGGACTTTAATCGATCAATGCTCATCTATTTTAGATTGGGGTCTGGGATGGTGATGGGGAGTGAGATGAAGTGTGGTGATCATTGAAGGGCTGGTTCAATTGCGACCGCTGCTCGTGGTTCAATACGAGGACAAATCGCAGAGCCGCGTACCTACGATATGACCCTGTAGAATGGAAGTTCTAGAAGAAATAATCGAATTCTAATTGACTCAAGTTCTTTAATCTAATTTGTCTAGCATCGCAGTCGGCATCATGTCACGCAAGTGTTGGTGAACTGGTTCGCCCACCGCGACAGCGCTATTCATGGCCAGACACGCAGAAGGAGGGCTCTTCTGCAGAAACGGACGTTGCAACTACTACCTAGACAAGTTTGAGCCTCGAGAGAGTTACTTGGGGCTCATTAATGTGCGTTTCTACTGATCTCTGGCCTGTGATGCCCTACAGCGAAGGGTTGACGAGTTGGTTCAATCGCGACACCGAGTAGACGAGGGCATCGTCGCGGAGTCACACGTCGCGGATGCTACCAATTAAGTATCTTGAGAGATCTAAATGATTGACGACTTCGCGTAGGTTCGTGGAGATGGTCGGTCCGAATTGGCAGTCGTTGTCGTGAGATGCAGCGTTGCCAACTGCGACAGCTCTGTCGTGGCCAGCGTGAGTGTCGTTGCAGAGCCGCATGCGACTTGGAAGAGCTGATATCTAGAGAGGATCAATATACGGCGTGTCGTATGGTCTGCAAAAGCAAGTCTACCGCCATGAGATGCAATGTGATGCGTCTCAACTGTGTTCTCCCATCACGAGTCGCTCGCTGCTTGCTGTTCATAGAAGGAAGACGGGGAGATAAACTGCACTTACACCAGTTCGCAGTCCCCTATGAAGATTTTGATAGCTGTCTAGAAAGAGGTCTGATGATTGGAATGTCCTGTTGTGATGTCGCGGCTGTTCGTCTCACTGGACGTTCCTCAATTGACCATCGAAGCATCGCCAGCCACGAACAAATGCTCAGTCGACTCCGCTTTTGTGATCTCCTGTGTCGCATGACCTACTATATGGTGTCTAGTATGACTCAAGTAATCTATATTGCTCTGTTGCCAGGAGTTGTGGCCTGCTGCCAATCGAGGCCCGCGCCAATGTTCTCCACGAGACTAACCAAGACGGCCGTTGTCGCATCGAACGGGCTTATGAATTAATGTAACGAGGTATAGTACTTGTTTTCTTACTAGCAGATCGATTTTGAACGCAGTCATGCTTCCTATGATGAGTTTGGTCAATCACAAGTCTTCTTGTGATGTTGTTCTGTACACGATCCTCAGTCGGCCACCGAAGCACCATGTCTTTCCATGCCGAACAAAAGGTCTGCTGGCCCAGGCTCGACAATATTCTGTATCGCAAGCCTTACCAGAGTGTGTCTGTAGGGATTTTATCCATCTATATTGTTCTTCTGCCATTTGCACAACGAGTTCCGCGATCTCTTTGGCGTTGGATATCGCCGAAGACTGCCGTTTTCGCGCTCGACGATCCCAACATCAAATCTATTGAGAATAAACTCTCATTTCCCAGTTAAGTGATCAATTTTGCATATGTCAAAGCTCACTGGAGTGATTATAATCCATTGGGCGCCACGCTGTGATGTTGTCGCTCGTCCGTGTACGCAATCGTCGCTCAATCGTCAAAGAAGCATGTCTATTCATGCCAAACAAAAGCTCGGTTGACCCAGCCTTCACAGTAATTGATATCTTCCAACTCAAGATAGTATGTCGGAAAGAACACTGCTTACTTCGATTGCTTTGCTGTCATGACACAAGGTATGTCGCGGCTGAGTTCTCCGACGGCATTCTATGAGACTATAGGCGACCTTGCCAGAGGATCCCAGTATTAGATGTATCGAGATAAAGTGCTCAATATCTAACTGAATAGGCTTAGCTATCAATGCTGCGACTCATTGAGGTGAGTACAGATCATGGCGCTGTGCTGTGACGTCGCCGCTCGTTGTTCTCGACATGATCTTCAATCGTAATCGCAAGCACCATATCGAGCAAGAGCGAAAGAAGGCTCTATTGCTTGGCCACTACAATTAAAATTATCGCTCGGGCCATTCGATTATGTTCAAAGGTGCTCCAGTTCATCTCAAATGTTCTGTTGCCAGGAAGAGCTGTGTTCATCTCACTGAATCGCCAGACTGATCAAGACTCTCGGTCACCGCGTCTCAGGGTCCCAACATCAATAAACTGAGATCAACTCATCTTTAACCGATAAGGGGACCTCTATTCTGTATATTAGTGCTCGCTAATATGGAATAAGTATTAGATCGTCGGTTACAGTGTCGCCGCTCGTCCTTCTGTGCGCAGTCACCAGCTGTCATTTATCGCGATCGCTACACATTACATACAACGAATAAGGGCCTCATTGAATTGGCTCTAAATAGGTCTCATTTCTCTGTTCATTCAGGCATGTGTAAGAAAGTTCAAGTTGTCTTGAATGTGCTGTCGTGGAACGCTCAGGTCCACGACAACATTCCCACTGATGCTGCGAGATTGGGCAACGCTGCCGTTCCAAATAACAAGGATAATGAGATCAACTGTCCCTTGTTCAGTTAGGGGACCTCTTTTTTATCTCTGAAGATCAGTGAAGTGACACTGGCCCAATTGGGGCCCCTGTTGTGATGTCCTCGCTCACGATTCTGCTGCACAATTGTCAATCGTCCACCTTCATCATCAAGACACTCTACCACACACCATAAACAAAAGCTCTTTTGACCCAGAATTTACCGTACATTATTTCTTCTAGTCCATCAGAGCATGTCTAAATGGCTGCGACTCATCTCCGATGTTCTGTTACAGCAAACTGAGGTCCGCCATAAGACGCTCTCTGATGCTGTGAGGCTGGCCAAGACTGCCACTCTACATCAAAGATATGGAGATAGCTGTTCGGCGCACAGTCGCGGGGTCCTTCTTATGTCTATAGATGGTCATCGGAGTGATTTTATCGCAATAAATGCCATGTTGTGACGTCGCCGCTCTCGTTCCGCTGTTCAATCGTCAATCATCGCCATCCAGCCACTCCATTACACACGCCCAACGACAGCTCTTTTGACATAGTTTTCACAATATCCTGTGTCTCTAGTTCCATTAGAGTATGCCTGCCAGAGTGCGACTCATTCCAGCTGTTCCATCGCGACAGACTGAGGTAACGGAACAGCCGCCCTCACCAGCGATGTTCAATCGAATAGCCCTCAACCACCATTTTGATCAAAGGCTCATCTAGCAATATCTCGGAGGTTTCTATTGGATTTCTAACTCGTATTACACTAATAATAGAGATCTCTAGCTTGTTGATCCCTCTGTGACGGTTGCCAGTGCCCGCGCACAAGCCGCTTGAATCAGTGAACTGATCGAGAACAATCGCCGTGGACGCTGATTCACTCTCAATCACTAGAATAAATGCACAACATCTTTCTTTCAAACCCTAGGCAGTCTCTACTTTCTCTCTTCCATCCTATTCCGCTGCCTAGTCTTCTGTTTGCGCCCCAAGCATCCTGCGACGAGTGTCTCGATTGCCAAACCAAGCACCACCATCAACACCACCAACTTCCAGTATTTCGGCAACTAAACACCATCGCAGTCATGTTTAACCTCACCTGTCCCTCCGACGCCAGGCGCAAGGCCACCAAGAGAGCCTCGCGCGTGATGTCGAGCCTCAAAAAGACCCTCTGGTCAACCCTCTCCGAGACCCCCAAGCAGCATCTCAAGGAGCAGAAGCCCAAATACCAGCTCTGCAGCAACCCCAGCATCACTGTTACAGATACGGAGACCGGAGAGGAGTGGGACTTCATCGATCATGATGAACTTGATGGTGATCTCGCGAACAGCGATGACAATCGCACTTTGAGAGAGGAACTCGAGATCAATGCGCGCGAACAGGAGAATCTCCTGTATTCTCGCCGCTGGATGAACTAAGCTTCCAGCTTGGTGACTGCGCAGCCACTGCGATGTCCAATTGTGCGGGTGCATCGACTGGTATGGACAGAGAGACATGCTGGATGTTCGACGAAACTCGCCAGTACCAGTGGAACAAGAGATCTCTCGACGGCGGCAGCATCGCCTCGAGATTGATCGTATATATTCTCTATCTCAACCCCAAATCTCGCTCCTTTCCTCCACTCATCCTCGACATCACTCACAACCGGAACTTCCCTGAGATCAGCAACCATCGACACCAACCTACCAACGCCAGACTCACAGCAACCTTTGGACCTCTTACACCACGACTTCTACGACACCCCTAGGACCTCTCAGCTACCACTAACACCAACACACCGACCCCCTCTTTCTCCTCAATCGCTTTCATGGGTATGAAGATGCCCTCTGATCCTTCTTTCAAGTGGCCTGAGGAGTGCACCAAGCCTAGCATGTTCTCTATGCTGGTCAAGAAAGTGACCGCCCTTATCAAGGGCCCCTCTGACGAGGAGAAGCAGCCTGACCAGAAGGAGCCCGTACTCATCCAGCCTGAGGATGCCACTGAGCCTTGGGAGCTCATCCCCACCGTGAAAGACGACCCTTGGAGCGTCGTTGTGAAGTCCCGCAACGCCCTGACCGAGTTCGACGACAGTGGTGCCGACCGCCAAACTCGCTATGAGCGCACCTACTAGTATGAGTTTGATCGCCGGGTCGTAGAGGCCGACCGCCTTGACATTCGTGAACGTGAGGCCAAGCGAGCATCCAAGTAGATGTGCCCTGGTAAGCTGCTGCAGAAGTAAGAGTAATCCACATTTTGTGAATGATCTTTTCCTCTTGGTAAGTTTTTCTGGGCAATGCTAAGTAAGCGCCCCCTGAATTGGGATCTTGGCCGTAGAATAGAGACTGACGAACTGTGGCTAGGTAGACAAGATAAGCTTTCTTTAGGTAGAGAGTACATAGACTGACTACTTGGACGACGAGACTAGAGTGAGGTGAAATGAGGGTATTGGGATTGACTAGACGGACTGGATAGATAGACGGCTGATAGTACACTATTGTATTAAAGTGTCTGTAGATAGGTATATAATCTGTTGCCTCAATCATCGGCCTCTGAGGCCATCTCCACTAAACTGTGTCGTGTCTAACATAGAAAACTTCTCGATCTCCCTTCAAAATGCATGTACCATCTGTCAACAAACTCCGACATTATACAGCTAATCACCAGTGATGATGGGTGAACAGGTACCCAAGAGGACTGCCTGTTCGGTACGACTGCTCGCTGCCTCCAGTTCTGCTCGAGCGTCCAAGACTCGCGCGACTGGCCATGTCACGCTTACTACCCTTTGTAGTAAACGAGAACTCTGACTTGGCATCCGCCTCCGAATTGTCCGTGGATGTAGAGATCAGTCTGCGTTCCTATTCTGCGACTCTCTCTCCGCCTCCGCGCCAGAGCCCGTAGAAGCCCTCACAATTCTTCCAAAGCTTGATGGTACCATCCTCCGATCCTGTAGCATACATCTTGCCATCAGGCGAGAATGCAATTGACCAGATAGGTCCGTGATGTCCTTTGTGTACGTCGAGTTCCTTTCCATCGTCGTATCGGATAACCTTGGCCCATGTGCCGGGCTCCTCACCGACAACTAGCTTGCGACCCTTGAGATCGAGCGCAACACTAGCGATGGTGTAGGTCAGAGGAAAGCGTTTGAGCTCATCCATAGCATTGCGTCCACCCCAAAAGTACGCCGTCTTGCCAGCAGCAACAGCGAGAACTGGCAGTCCGCCGCCAATGTCGGTAGGGGAAGCATACTGCGAATCCAGTGACACCATCTCGCAAGACTTGATGTCTCCATCAAGGACTTCATGTCGGATGCAGGCTCGGCTAGGCAGGTCGAGCCATCGGATTGTTTTGTCGGATGCGGTCACAACAATGTTAGGGTCCTGGGTCCAGCAAATGAACTTGATCGAACCAGTATGAACGCCTTCGCCGATCTCGAAGCCAGCGGAGGCGGGGATTGTAGCAGGGGACCCAGTAGAAGACAGCTCGGAGAGATCAAAGATGCGCAATTTCTTCTCGAAACCGCCGGTCGCAATAAGATCAGAGTTGTCGGGAGGGTAGGCAATCGCACGGACAATGTGATCGTGTTGAAGCGTATAGAGCAACTCGCCAGAGTAGGTGTCCCAAATTTTGCTATGCAAATGTCAGCAGTGTTAGGTTCCATAAAAGAGAATACTCACGCTGTGAAATCAGCCGATGCAGTCGCTGCGCTGCAGGTATCAGGGCTCAGTCTAGCTTGCCAAACAGCACCCTTGTGACCGATGAAAGTGCCGATCCTATACAAGTCAGGAGAGCTACCAGATCCAGTTGAGAGTGACCTACCAATCGCCAGTCATACCGTTTCGAAGCATAGGGTTGCCATCTACATCATGTCAATATGCGCTCTGTTGAGACAAGACATTGACGCACCTTTGCAGGCTGAGATCAGAAAGAAGCTGTCGGTCTTCTTCTCGATCTCCTTCTCATTTTCCTTCTCAAAGCCAGAGAAGGCGATATGAGGAACAGGTCGGGAATGACCGTGGCAGGTGAGAGGATGGTATTGTCGAGGTTCGGAAGCCATTGCGACAGTATAGAGAAGCGAAGACGAGCGGGGAATCGATTTGCTGATGGGGATCTAGCCAATTGCGGCCAGCTGTAGTATTCGATGTCGGTCTAGAGAGTAGCAAGATACCCGATATTAATCGAGGATGTCAAAATTGGAAATGAGAGAGGCCGTAACAGTCGTATGCGTCGTTAAGAGTGGTTTGGATCGTGACTCGTGGCAGAGCTTGTCGCGTGTCGTCGCAGAAGTGTGGAGCGTCTTTCTCGAGCAAATGGCAATGATGGGCTCAAAACTTGAAGGAAAGAGATAGAGAAGCGGAACGTTAAGGTCGTGATTGGATGGGGTCGTGTCGTGAGGTCAAGAAAGCGTGAATGTTGCCCCCAAAGCGAACCCCCTTGAGAAGAGAAAGTAGAGGAGAGAGGAAAGGAGGGCGGTGATGGATTTGCCAAATATTTGCGAAGACGGGGAGGACGAAACAGGTTGGACAGGGAAGGAAACAGCGGCGCGCATTCAAAATGACAGGGCCACGCTTGCCCGACTTGAGCAGCGGGCCTAGAGGAGCAAGAAAACTTGGGACTTAAGAAGGGATGTCAAAATTAATGCAATGAAGAATAGGCTAAACTTAGGCCTGAGTCGCCTAAGTATTTTAATCTCTCAAGATAAAGGTCCTAAGTTTTATTGCACCCTCTAGGCGGGGTTACACGACGGGGTCCTTCTTGCCGGTAGGCACCGCCACAAAGCGGGGTATAATTGGGGGCTGCAATATCTTGACTTGACTTGAGAGACAAAGATATTGATGTAGAGAACAAGGAATTATTTTGTGAGACAGAGAGTAAGGGGTCTGAAGGTGCCTGGATGTGTAGATTGTCTTTGGTTCAGCGTGTAGTGTTGAGAAAAGGACCAGAATCCCACGCAAGATATATACAGTACTGCTCTCTCCTGAGTCCCCTCAACAGCTATTTCTGCCCAACTCTTGCTAAAGCAGTATCACCATGAAGGTAGAACAATAACTTATGATACATGCAGCAATCTAATTTTAGCCTTCCCATGGAATGTATATACATATGCTTAAATGCGAAGCAATAATGCCCGAAAGCTCACGACATTAAAGCCCGAGCGATACTTTATGCCGGCCAAGTGGAGGTGGCTGGTGCTTAGTGACGTGACGCATTGAGTTGTGGCTTAAGCTGGACGGGACAGATCTGACGGGAAGGGGCAATCAATCGATCAGCTTCCATTACTGACCAACGATCAACTCTACGATTTGTCACGTTCCTCCCGTTCCTTTGATGACTTTTTGACGTCTTCATACTCCCTGTGATTCATCCTTTTTTGTCGTTGGCGTTACCCTTGCTTAGAGAGATAGCAGGCCGTTCTCTTTCTTGACCCTGTTGCATCATCGTCCGTCCAGTCAATCCATCAAGCTCCCCCCTCCACTGCATTCAGCAGTGTCACGTACTCTCATCATCCATCCATCGAACCAACCTCCAGAAAAATGACCGATTTCAAGCTGTCGGCGCAATTGGTCGGGCACGAATCCGATGTAGGCATTATTAGGCGACTTTCTCTGCATCTCGAAACACTAACAGATCGATAGGTTCGAGCCGCAACCTTCCCCTCTCCCGATACCGTCTTAACCGCCTCCCGCGATTGCAGCGTCCGCATGTGGCGCCGCACCCAAGCATCTCCACCGAACTTCGACGCAACCCTGGTCAGCCGTGGTTCCGAATACGTCAACTCGATCTCCTTCTTCCCTCCGTCCAGCGAGCACCCAGATGGTTACGTTGTCTCTGGTGGCAAGGATACCATCATCGAAGTCAAGTCCCCCAAAGCTTCCAGCTCCGATAACGCCGAACGCCTCTTGATCGGTCATTCTCACAACGTTTGCACGCTCGATGTCTCACCCGACGGTAAATACTTGGTATCAGGCGGCTGGGATGGTCAGGCGCGGGTATGGAGCCCTCAGAAGTGGGAAACAGAGCTCTTGTTGAGCGGCCACGAAAGCATGGCCGTCTGGAGCGTTGTTGCATTTGATGATCACACAGTAGTGACTGGTTGTGCCGACAAGAGCATCCGTATCTTTGACCTGCGGCAGTCTACCGCCGGTGAGGTGTCGCCAAGCTCTACCATCCACACACCTGACGTTGTCCGCGCCCTCTGTCGTGTACCGAATGGTCACCCCAGTGGTGCAGATATTGCGAGCGCAAGCAACGATGGAACAATCCGCCTGTGGAAGCTGAATGGTCAACAAGTCGCCGAGCTGCACGGACACGAAAGCTTTGTTTACTGTTTGGCCAGTCTTCCGACAGGTGAGCTGGTCAGTTCGGGAGAGGATCGTACCGTCAGGGTATGGAAGGGTACCGAATGTGTACAGACAATCACACATCCCGCCATTTCGGTATGGACGGTCGCTGCGAACCCCGAAACCGGCGACATCGTTACGGGTGCCAGCGACAGCATTGCCCGCGTCTTTACACGAAGTCCCGACCGTACTGCCGACCAAGCGACACTCAAGGAGTTTGAGGAGTCTGTCAAGGCGTCATCAATCCCTCAGCAACAGGTCGGGGGTGTCAACAAGGAGAAGCTCCCTGGCCCTGAGTTCCTGACCACTAAGGCGGGCACGAAGGAGGGACAGGTTCAGATGATCAAGGAGGATAATGGCAATGTTACTGCTCATACGTGGTCAGTGAGCCAACAGCAATGGATCAACGTCGGTACTGTCGTTGATGCTGTCGCCAGTACTGGCAAGAAGGTTGAGTACCAAGGAAAGATGTACGACTACGTCTTTGATGTCGATATTGAGGATGGCAAGCCTCCTCTGAAGCTCCCCTACAACCTCTCTGAGAACCCTTACGAGCGAGCCACCAAGTTCTTGGGCGACAATGAACTACCGCTTTCGTATCTTGACAACGTTGCCAACTTCATTACGGAAAACACCAAGGGAGCTACTCTTGGTCAGACTTCAGAGCCAAGCGGACCAGATCCTCTTGGCACCGAGTCGCGATACCGACCCGGTGAGAACACCCAGCCCAAGGTGCTCCCTCAGAAGGACTACCTCAGCATTACAGCAGCCAAATACGAAGGTCAGTTCTTGTCTCTGTGCTTTCGTTCAATCACTGACAGCGCCAGCCATCTTCAACAAAATCTTGACCGTCAACAAGAACATGGTCTCATCGGGTCGCAAAGACGCTGCTCTGAACCCATCCGATGAATCTGTGCTGTCAGAGCTGCGCGCCGCGCTTGAGTCTAACAAACCCGTTCCGCAAACAGCCCTGCCTCTTCTTGTCCGCATCCTTACACAATGGCCCTACTCAGACCGTCTCGCCGGTCTTGATCTCCTTCGCTGTGTCGCGAAGTACCCTCTTGTCGCTCAGTTCTCTGACCCTACTGCTGGCTCCCTTCTCGACCTCGCTTTCGCGTCCTCTCTACCCAAGGGCGAAACTCCCAATGAGAATGCTGCCATGATGGGTCTGCGTACCCTCGCCAACATCTTCTCCACCGCAAATGGCCGCTCGATTGTTAGTGCTCAATCGGACGAGGCCATTTCCTTCCTGGAACGTATTGTTGGTGTCTCCTCGGAACCCATCGGGCCGTTCAACCGCAACGTCCTCATTGCTGCTACAACCGCAGCAATCAACCTCTCAGTGCTCGTCCATCGCGAGCGTCTCCTCACACCCGACCAGCGTCGCCGTCTCGCCATACTTCTCGGCACGATCCTCTCCCGCGATGGTCAGACAGACTCAGAGGTTCTATACCGCGCTCTGGTGGCGCTCGGCACACTGCTCTCCGCATCAAAGGCGGAGGCGGCTAATCTCGGTATCAAGGGGTGGATCCAGAGTGCTGTTGGACGAAGCTCTGAGGAGCGTGTCAAGTCTGTCGCGGCCGAGTGCGCTAAGGTCGCTCCGTGAATGTGATATGATGGTGACGGGTATGCAGGCCGTCGCAGCGCCAAGACGGGTTATTCTTGACGTGGAACGACGGATGTACGGAATTAAAACAGAATTACATAGAATTAGCGGTAGGCGGATGTGATGCATTGTACACAAGCGCTTTGTGGTGAGAGTGATGTCCGGCGTTGTGAGAGGAGTCTGTCAATTGTGAGGTATCGTCTTATTTCATCTCACATCAAAACTTGGAATCTCATTGGTACGACTATTTATCACATGAGTGGCATAATGTATGAACTTGAATAGTCGTAGACTCTCATTCTACGCGGTGTCTCAAATGAATGAAGCAGATAAAGCTCCTCCAACACCATACCACGTGCGATATCTCAGTCCCCTCGGAACAACCGCAACATTATAAAGATAAAAATGAAGGGATATAAATAATAGTACCAAATCAATCCAGGGATATGCCAAAAATTCCCCGCCCGTAAAAAAACGCCAGTCATTATGCTTTGTACAATTTTCTTTCGCGTCGGTTTCTCATCAATCACGCAAACAGGGCATAGGCACCCGCTGCCACGAGCGGTAGCCAGCCTGCCATGTTCAGCTGGCGCAGTGTTTGTGTCGCGCCGGATTCGCTAACATAGGCGTCGGAGCCGGACTGCTTGGTCGTGATGGTGTAGATCTCTGCGAAGCCGATGTCGGTGGAGTTGAAGCAGTTTGTCTCGTTAACTTCGGCGATTCTCTTGTCTCCTGGTTCAGCGAAGATGATGTCAACGCACTGGGCATGTTAGTCAATTTTCCCGTCACCAAAGAATCTCGGGAGATAAGGAACGTACAGAATACAGAGCTGCGCCGTGGACGGCGAGTTCTACGACCTGGATTGTAGCCTTGTCGCCTGCCTTGACGGTGGTGTTCTTGGGCAGAGGCACCTGAGGTAGGCAGATGGTTCCTGGGAAGGGATTGTTGGTGGGACCGAGGATCTGGAACATGGGGACGACGGGCTGTGTCATGTTTGCTGGGCCGCCGTCAGGACCATCATCGCCAAAGCCCATGTTGACGTAGGCGAAGGCTGTCTCGTGGCCACGGAACCAGCCGGGCTGGAAAGCGACAGCGCCGCCTCTTGTGGGCCAGTATGTTCTGTTTGTCGTGACATTGTGACCGCCGCCTGATGCTGTTAACTGGTGTTGACACGGTCAAGAGGAGAGGATGGGGACGTACATGGGTAGACCCATTGCATGCCGTAGGGGAATGTTGCGTTGGTGATGAGGTTGTTTCCTCGCCAGCCGGGATAGGTAATGACGCTGTGTGCTGACACGATTGTCGCGAGGAGGACCGAGATGAATGCTGACGTCCTCATGATTGCGGTTTGTATGCTTATATATCGTAGTATTGGGTGATACTCTAGCAAACAGACAAAGAACAAGAACAAGGCTCAGCCTCGAACATCAAATTCACGAACCAACGATTATAGATTTCAGAAAGAATTATTCGGAGAAAAAGGAAGAGGGAGAGGAGGCCGCGAGTTCTGGTCTTAAGGCAGGCACAGAGTGGCCATGTTTGCAGCCGCCCAGCTCAAGCTCAGATGTGATGGCCCAGTAAGAGGCCGTTGACGATGCATCTTGGAGGGTGTGACCCCTGCTGCAGAACGGGAACACACGCCCAATGGGATCAGCGGGATGAGTGATTTACAGGGCTACAGGGCGTTTCTGGGCTGTGACTGGAGATGTTTTAAGCGCTGGCGCTAGACTTATTTCAGTGAGCGGCCAATAAGAGACAAAAATGGATGGGGTAGAGGGGCGGGGGTTGGTGATGGGATATGCCGGTTAATGAGGAGGAAGAAAGGGACGGTAGAGGTCGACTCACTTGATGGAAAGATCGGATCAGGAGAGCCGATGAACGATTCGTAGCCGCGTTTTGATCTGATGATGGTACTCTCAGACTCTGACTCTCAGTGAGTGATAGCTTGAGGCTCGGGGCGAGAGTGCCGCGTAGACGCCAAGATCCATGCCATGGTCACACCCAGGACACACAAGCTGGACAAGCACAGACGCAGACACTACCGTAAGCTGATGCTCTTATCAGTACGGCCTGTGATTGGCTCCTCTCTGTACTCTGTGCTATCGTTGCATTTTCGGCGAGAGACTGGTTCAACTTGTGCTTGTTGGACCACGGGTTCTTCAATCATGCATGTGCCTTGCCTTACGGGATGGGCATGGCAAGCGACAGCAATGACGATAATAGCAAATATCTCGCAAAATAACAATCATGGCGTCGCTGGGCTATATAACTTGGGCAGAGACAGACCAGTCGGAGTTTTATTCCCCATCGTTTTTAAGCACTGAAACTCAAAACGCCACTAAGATCTTAAAACTCACCTTGTCTTCACCGAAGTTCACCGAGCCCTGTGGAGTCTCGAAATCTCAATCTTGACGACAATCTTCATTGAGAGACTCACTATAAGTGATCATCTCACCATTATTCCCCATCTTTTACAGAAGCGCTTCAATTAGTTCATTATCTCGCTTCATTTCTACTAATATTTTTCTGCACATTGACTTTGACTTTCCTTCCAGAGATTCACTTCACAAATGTCTTCATCACAGGATTCCTCAGACTGGACAAGAGTCGTCCGCAGGGGCCGCAAGAACAGACGAACCAACACGGCATCTCACTCTTCCAGACACATAAAGCCTCAGACAGAAGGTTTGAGATCACCGGAGGATTTGGAGAAGGATTACAAGCAGCATCGCAAACGATGGGAGGACGAAGCGTACTCCTGTCCCCGTCTCCGTGAGCTCGTCAAGGCGAAGGTGTCGCATTTGACAGAGATTAACAAGGCGGTTCATCTTGGCGTCGGGACATTTGATCCGAATGATGGGCTCAATCTTGATGGCAAGAGATCCACGTTTGCGCAACTTGCGGCTTTTGAGATCATGGTTGAAGAACTGGGTACGTCTGCTACCTTCATGGCTTGTGAGTGAATGGTGCTGATTTGAGCAGAGAAAATAACGGGTGGCAAGATTGAGACGTTCTTCCAAGACCCAGCCTTCAGCGCCTCCGACAAAAAGTTCCTGGAGAGTATCGGCCACACTGTTCTTGATGATCCCAAGGGTACGCAGATGGTCGATGAGAAGACGCTCTTCTTTGGCGTTCATCTCTACAGACCTGTCTACAACGATGCGCTAGAGGGCGAGCTTCCTGCGCTGTTTGTCGGGACCAGCTGGGACGATTGGGGAGAGTAAGTCATGCCTCGAAGATAAAGTTGATGGGCTGGTGCTAATTGGGAACAGCATCTTTGCAGACGAGCACATCGAGAACGTGGAGAGAATGCACAAGTCATATGAACGCTGTGACTTTCCCCAGGAGAGACTGGACTGTGCGTTTTCTACGACGAGTATCTACTGGAAGCCCAAGAGTGAGGAGGAGAGTGTTGCTAAAGGGAAGGGGATTGTGATTGAGGAGGTTGAGATTGAGGATGGGGATGAGAAGAAGGAGAGCGATGGGGAGGAGGAGTTGGTGAAGAAGCTTGAGACTACTACTATTAATTGATCGCTGTTGTTAATTGTTAATTGACGAGTGTTTGTTCATGTCTGGCCATGGTCTGCGACTTGGGCTTCGGTTGCTGGTGACTGCGAAGACTGCGTTGCACTTACTAATGTGCTTCTTCTCTTGTGCTCAATTCCTTCATGCATGCTCTAGTTTACTAATACAATTTCGCGTTATGATGTCTCGAGTCTCGAGTCTCTTGGATCTTCCCTCGGCCTCATCTCATGAACTTACTTCTACCTCATGCAACATCATCACCAGTCGTCAACATCTTCAACAGTAGCTGACTTTCACTCTTCAATTCTACTGTCGCGACCATTTTCTTATTGACTTGCAAGTCTCTCTTCACGATTCTAATTCTCTTCCTCATCTACTTCGACTCGACGCTTCATCCTCTCTTCTAACTTCTTCCAACATCATCATCACTCCTCAACATCCAAGCTTCATACCTTGGCCCCAGTCTTCAAATCTTCTGTCGCAATCATTCCCTTTTAACCCTTTCAGCTTCTTCCTTCGCGTTTCATTTCTTTTCTCCATCATCCTCAACTTTCAATCTTCATCCTCTCTTCTGACTTCGCTTCTTCCAACACCATCAGTCTCAACATCCGATCTCGGCTCCTGTCTCAACACAACTGTCGCAATCATTCCCTTTTGACCTTTCAACCTCTTCCTTCATCCATTCAATTCCTCTTCTTCATCTTCTTCAACTCAACCCTTCATCCTCGACCTTTCGTCATCATCCTCAATTGATCAACAACTCCAACTCGACCACTCACCACCAACATCTACATCAACATCGTCGCCCGCCTTCACTTCAAAGACTCTGACCTTCCTAGTAAGTCCCTTCAAGTTCTCTCTTTGTCAAGTTCATCTCAACTCGTCAAATCTCTTCAATCCACCCCCAAAAGTCCTCTAACGTCCTCTCTTTTCCACTAACCTTTACCCAATTTCTCAGTCTTTCCCTTCCTCTCCTCAAAACTTGCCTCTTTTCCTCTAAACCGCCATAACATCTCCTAAACAATCCACTCTCTTTTAAAAGTCTCGTCTAAAGGCGCATCGCGCAGTGATTCACGGCCTCTTCAATCTCCCTCTTAAAAATTCCGTCTCTTCTCGTCATCCTTCATCCAACTTACAAACTCAGTCAATCACATCAAGATTCAGCAAAGATTCTACAATCTTAGACCATCAACTCAAGCCATTATCAACGACTTTCACAATGGCATCTTCATTCCCAGAGGCAAAGGTTGACAAAGCCGCCCGCGAGGCAGAGTACCAGGCACTCTGGCAGGTCTGCGATCGCGCAACTCGCAAGCCCGAGTACATCTACGGCGACGAAAGACTCAAGCGCTCTTTTCTCGAAGACACATGTGACGCTCTCATGCTCAAGAGGTAACCGTCTCTCCTCGATTGCTGCTTGAGTGAAACTGACGACGTGTAGACAGAAGCTCGGCAAGGTTCCCTGCGGAACTGATATCAGCGCCATGGTGACCCTTCATCTCCAGCGCGAAGTCGCCGGCCGTCTTCTCGCGGGTGCTCGTATGGCTGCTCCAGCCCCTGCTCCCAATCCGATGCCGTACACTGGAAACGGCCCTGCATTCAATCAGCCCCAGAATGTGTATGCTGCGAACCCGGATCCCTTCAACGGAAACCCAGGTCCCTACAATGGCAATCCAGCTCCGTACAACATCGCCCAGGCACCGCTACCAATCCCCCAGCCCCGTGCTCGTGCTTCTCCCCCAGACTTTGACTTTGCCATCCCGGACACTAACGAAGACCTGCGGCACGACATGGACAAAGTCATCAACACCCTTCGCCAGTACGCCCAAAGAATCGCCACTCTTGAAAACCAAGCCGCAACTATTAAAAGCCAAGTTGCAGCTCGTGAAAGCCAAGTCGCCACTCTTGAAAAGACAGTCGCCAAGATCACTCATGAGCGCGACATGTACAAGGCTGGGACGGTGGGCATGATGAACGCCGACATGAAAAAGTCAGCTTCCGTCTCTCCTGGCATGTTCACCTACCCCGTCGAGGGGATCGAGGGCTTGTCTGCCGCTGCCTATCCACACCCCAGACCTCTCACGCCTAGAAGTCAGACGCAGGAAGGGGATGAGGAAGGGGATGCGACGTATCACCCTGGAAATTGAAGCTTGCGACGGAGAACATGGAGTCAGGTTTGCATTGGGAGACGGGGATGAGGAGTTTTCATGAGGGCGATTAATGCAATGGTTGCTGGGAATAAGGAATTGGGCGATTTGCTTGGAACGGATGCTTGGGATGGACACATCGAAGCACGTTATATACATCTTGCTTGGCCATTTAGCTTGTAACCACTGACGACGACACGAATATGCAGCGCCGACGGGCAAGATACCCATCAGTTAGGTACATCAATGATCAATTCATTGCAACAAACATCAATACTTCATTCACATGACAGATCAATTCATCAAATCAAACATCAATCGTTGAGCCAATATTTGTATTGTTTGTCCTAGCCATTCCTCCATCAACTATATACTTTCGCAATGCGGATCGTTACAATAAGCCAGCGTTCCATTTCCATCGTCTACAAAACAATCGTGCCAGGCGTATCCGAAACAAGAAAAAAACATATAGAGGGCATAACATTTTACCTGTTTTCCCTAATACTCCGTAACTCCGTCCGTGATAAGACATTAAATGCTGAGTGTTGAGGTGATGCTGGTTATATATCCAATGCATGCCCTCGCATCCTAAACTCAGACATCAATCGCCGCTGAGCAATGCCATGAATGCATCAATTCGTTTATGAGGAAAACATGCTGTAGTCCTGGATCGTCTTGCCGTCGCAGTCGGGAATCTTGACTCCCTTCTTGAGCTCACGGTCCGATGTCAACAGACCCCATTTGTCTTCCCACGCCTTGCCCTTGGTGTTGTACCTCTCCTTCCAAGGCTCGTCAAATGCCTCGAACCAGAAATAGTTGGTTCCGTTCTTGAGAGATTGGCAAACCCAATCGTCCATGAAGGTGTTGAGCTCGTCAACACCAGCAACTGATCCCTCGGTACAGGTCGTGGCTGAGCCACAGTTGGTGCCGCCTCCGGTAGGCCAGCCTGTCTCCGAAATGATGTTCTTCTTCGTGTCCGTCTTCCAAAAATCTCCATTGTTGGTCTTCCAGAAGTTGGAGGTCCAAGCGGCAGCCTCGGATGCCGTCACTCCGGCAAAGAAGGGATGGATGTTGGCCATGATATAGTCACTGTCCGTCGCAAGTTCAGATGTCCAGTCGTCACCCAAATCCGAGGTAGCAACGGGGAGCTTGAGGCCCTTCTTGTCGAGCTTCGTGCGGGTGTCGTCCAAGATCTTGGCCAATGTGGTGATGTTCATCTCCTCACGGTAGAGGATTTCGTTGGCAATGATGATACCCTCAAAAGGGTCATCACCATACTCATCTAGGATGTCCCACATTTGTGCCATCTGTCGATCGTTGGTTGTCTCGTTCTTGTCAAGCCAAACACCCATCCAGATCTTGGTATCCTTGAGTTCCAATCTGTCGAGGGCATGAATCAACATCTGCGTCTGGTTGCAATCGGTTCCGTACAATCGAATTTTGTTGGTAAGCTGACCCAGAATGGCCACGTCGCGCGTGATGTTGTTCTGAGAAGGCGGGTTATGCATACAATCGGGATACTGCGAGTTGAGAGGGGTGTAGTCCATGCCGGGAAAGACTCTGTGGAGGTCGGGATTGTTGAGAAGTTCCTTGATCTCCGCGCTGTTTTTGCCAAGATCGCCGTTCTTCTTGGTGTCGTCCTTAGCTGACTCTCCCGAACTCGCTGAACTGTCGTCGTGCTTGCCATTGTTCACCATACTACCAACGACACCACCAACAATAGCTCCAACAATGACGAGGAACACCACGACGATGATGAGCCACTTGCACCTCTTACTCCTCCCAGTGTCCTTATCGTCTGAGCCATAACCGTAAGGCTTTTCCCGTGCATTCATCTCGTAGCCTCCGCCTGTACCTAATTAGTAAATGCGCACACTTGGCAGACGGATACTGACCTCGTCCACCCAAAAGGCCGCCAGCAGCCGCACCACCTCCAACCGCAGCAGCGGTTGCAGAGGCACCCCTCTTCGCGCGGTCGGAGTTGGAAAGGCTAAGCATTGAGTTCCTTTGACTCTTTCCATACACAAGTCCGTCGTCCCCATCGTCAATAATGTCATTAGGATTCACTACACCAAGATTGTCGCTGCCGTGCCGCGAATTCGTATATCCGGGGTATGGGTTATCGATGTAGGGATCGCTACCGTTGAAGTGAGATGTCGCGGCTGATGGTGGCCCCCGAGGAGAATCGTAACCGTGACCGTAACCTCCGTTTCCGCCATAAGGGTTTTGCTGAGTCCGCGATGGAGGCGGGGGCAGGTTGGAGTGTTCCATTGCGCCTATTCCGCTATAGCGAGGATTACGGTCAGCAACGTTAACAGCAATGCCTGTCATACCACCAGATGCTGACATTCCAAAATTGTCTGCGCCCGGTGTAGTATGGGAGTTTGGGTGATCATACCCCATATGTCCGCTGCCGCCACCTCCGTAGTTATTGTAGCCTTGGTTGCCGTAATAACCGTGGTCGTTTTGTTGAGGCGATGGCCGTCGAGGACTGTCGTATCCAGCGGATCCAGTGTACGGCGAAGGCGATACTGGGCGACCGTGAGAGGAATAGTCGTCGTAGCCACCTTGTACACGGCTGTATGAAGAATCGGGATGTGTGCTTGGGTGATTTGATCTTGAGGGAGCGTCGTATTGGGCAGCCGAAGGTGAATAACTATGGGGAGGAGGGATGGGTCTTCGGGGAGAGGAATCGTAGCGATTATGAGAGTCGAGCGGTTCGCTCTCGTAGGGATCCCCGTGGTAGTTCTGCATCGTGGGTAATGGTTGGATATTAAATCTGGATCCAGGCGGAGGAGCAGGCAGGTTCAAGCAGTGTGACACTGCTAAAGATAGCGATAAGGTAGGTGACTGCAACAACTCGAGAGCAGGCAGTGCCAAGAGGATCGATGATGCCAGCAGCGGGCGCGCCGCCTCAAGGGGATCACCTTGGAAGAAGGTGGATCAATCGGCGAGATATAATTTGCAGTTAAAACGAGAGAGTTGGAGAAGCGCAAGGAACAGGAACAAACAAGCTGAGCGAGTGGAATAAAGAGACCGACCGACCCGAGCGAGTCTTTCTTTCTGCCTTGTTATTGCGAGAGATGGAGACGGAGCTGAAGAGAGGGAAAAAAGATGGAGTGACGAGGACCAGAGTAGAAAGAGCTCAGCCAAGAGTCAAGGTCAAGTCAATGAATCGCTGTTACAACTGTAACGGCCCAGTTGGAAGGAGCGAATGGGGGGGCAGGTAGCCACACCGGATGCGGACCGATAACCTGGAATTTCCCATTTTAGCGGGTGTTCCGCCCTGGGACTCCCCGGCAACCGGCCCCTAGTATTCCGGCCAAGGCGGGACCGGTGACGCAGATGTTCTGGAACCAGGGCCAAGAGCATTTACCTCGTCGATAATACGAGAGATATTGTATTGCAAATTAACAAAAAAATGTCATTAATACTGTTCATTCAACTTGACACTCAATAGCAATTGCAAATACCCTTCAGAAACGGTTCATTGCACAGCCTCCTCCAAAACGGGTGCAACGGCAGACACGAGGTTGGAAAATCCTCTAGTGGTGTGTGAGATCATCAACACGGGGTTGAACTTGTCTTGACTTGGTCAAGCCAACTCCATCTTCCCATAATGGATGGATGCGTGCGTTGCGCGTCCTCAGAACCTTGATCTATATTCGGAAACTGTCTCAGTCCCGGGCGAACTTCTTTGTTCTAGTTTAATCGCCGTTTATTCCCAAACTCACTTACTTCGTATTATACAGGAATGACCACGTAAACCCCCAATCCATCAATCGATTCTTAATTTGCTAAACAATGGCCTCATCGTAAAACTCAAACAAGCGACGAGGATCTATCCTGTACGAACATGGCACAGTTGGGTCTCGATTATATCCCCCTGTAAAATACGACTTTAGCCTGTCGATTGACGATCAACATGGAACCTCGAGGGTTACAGAGAAGGGAGAGACGATGAGAATCACTGAGAATTCAGCTGTGGCTATCCAGTGATCAACCAAAACAAACAGAAACAGAAACAGAAATGTCTTGAAAGTCATGAGGCTGGAGATGAATGCTGCCAAGATAATAGCCGCAATTGATCGATGCAAGACGGGTCTCAGCATGTGGCGTCGCCATAATATTAATTTATCGCCCTCATAATCACCAGCGGCACAGCTACCACCAACAGGCCATCATATTAACCAGCTTCAAAGCGCTATTTCGCAAGACTAAACAGAGAGTAATGAAGAAAATTCTGGTCTTTTTGTTATCTTGTTTATGTACCACAATTCGCAGATTAAAGGATCCTCTGTGACCCGGTATTCTTCCCAGTTTTACTTGTCTCCCTGGTGCGACACTGTTTGTTTATCGGCGATCCTCTCGCCTGAAAGGCTTTTTATGCGACACCGTTGGTCGATCAAAAAGCTCTGTGCTTCAGAAGTTCAGCCGATAAGAATTCGCTAAATAACTACTCATCGGCGATTTATGACAAACCCACACAAGATTTGACCAAGAGCGACTGTGGCTCGCTGTCAGCAGAAAGACGCCTAACAATTAAATAGTCTCAGCGCCGGGCATGTCAGCAAATTGCAGCTGTCGGGTCTCTTTAAGGCTGAATTGGTGTGTATGCTCGTGACTCAAAATGGCCGCTGGTGGCTGAAAATGGAATTAGCCATGGACCCTTGAGGCTTAAAAAAAGAAATGACATTTGCGGAATGTTAACATCGAGACCCCTATTTCTGAGACCGAAGTTCACGAAAAAGCCATCTCCGGTTGGGGACGGAATCCCTTGCATTCGCATTTGCGTCTTGATCGCGGTTCAGCCGTACTGAGAGGTTGTCGTGGAACGTTACACGATCAATATGTACATCATCATTAAGTCGCAAGCCAGAGGTGCACAAAGTGCAAAAATGTCTTGCATTGACGTCAAAGTACTCAATATTGCATCCCTTGATAGCTGGGGGCATGAACTGGCGGCTGACTGGCTTTGCGAAGTAGGCATTTTGAGAGTT